TGGCACAGTTTATTAGAGAATCCTTCCCAAGCTTCTCAACCTAGTAAAGAAAACAAAGGATGATAAGGGAAGACAACATATATAGAACCAAAAAAGAAACTGCAGGATTCATTCAGTTTCAAAAAGTTCAAATTTCACGTTATTTGAGTTCATATTCATTCACTTGTCAACAAGTTCTCAGAAAGCCGCTTACTTTCACTGACAACTTCTCTTCAACATATTTGCATGCTTCCCTCATAGCAAGCTGAGCAAACAAAAGACCCAAAAACATGTTAAATTCTGATACATGATATATTATTAACAAAAAGAAGGTGGCCATGCTAAAGGGGGTGAAAGTGACTCACTCTGAAGCCGCTAATTATAGATGTTGGGTGAATTTTATTCCTAACCAGATCGTTTGCCCTCTGTTGAATTGCAAGCAAATCACACATTATCAAATAAGAACGATTCTTAAAATACAAATCACACTAAAATGGCTATTTTATGCATGGATCAAATCCTGTAAAGAAACTTACGCAATTACCTTAAGAAATTCTCCAGCTACAATAACAACCGAGGTTGTTCCATCACCAACTTCTCGATCTTGAAGCTCAGCCAATTCTACAAGTACCTGCCACCACAAAGGAGATTAAAAATATACTACAACGTGTAGTAGTATTGCAACGACAGAAATCTAATAGTAATATGCAAAATACACTGTTTATCAACCTTGGCAGCGGGATGCTCAACTTCTAGCATCTTAAGAATCGTAGCACCATCATTTGTAATCGTTACATCACCAATGTCATCAACAAGCATCTGAAAACAATCAAACCAAAAAAAAGAAAACATTACAGAAAATGAAACATCATTAGTACCACCTCGAAACTGATGATTCATTTTTTTAAAATAATTCTTCTAAAAACAGCAAACGGAGACGAGACCAAATCGATAACAAATGAGGTTTAATTGGTAGAAAAACAGAGACTAAGGGAGACACCTTGTCGAGTCCAACCGGGCCAAGTGAGGATTTAACAATGTTGGCAACAGCTTGACACGCCATCACTTTTGAATAGTCCCAGAGAAGGAAAAAAGAAAATAAGTATTTGTTAATAAATGAAGCACGGAAGGGAAATGGAGGGGAGTGAGAGAAAGGTTACCGTTTTGAGTGCGAACATCCTGACCAGATTGGCGCTCGCCGAGAATATCTGGAGCTTGAGCTGCAATCGCCATTTACGGTTACGAAAAAGATATTGGAAATGAATCCCAATATCGGGATCTAAAGTTGGGGAAGGCGGGGGATTTGGAGTAGTAGAAGGAGAGTTAAAGAAGAGGGAAGTGAGTCGAGAATGTTCAAAATCGTTAGGGCTCTGCACTTCCTACTTTTATTATCTTTGATTGTTTAATTGTTATGCCCAATGGCCGAAGCTATTCGCCTAAGCCCGTATTTGGGAACTATTCTCCTTACTTCAAAGGCCCAATCCAGCACTCCTAAGCCGTTTAAAAAACAAACCTTTCTTTCCTCTATTTTTTTCTCTCGAAGAAAACATATAAATATGTGTCATTTAAAGGTTTTTTAACGGTATCATATGCCAATGAAATATTAAGCGATAAAATAATTTTAAACACTTAAAATTAACTTAATGTTTTTTCAGCGCATATTAAAAATAATTTTAATTTGAGTTGATTTCAGTCATTTTTATACATCAAGTCAACTTTTTACAGTCCTACTTAAAATTAACTTAGGTGACGTTTGGTTGGAGGGAATTGAAATTTGATCATACTACCCTCATCAGTCATTTGGTAATTTATTCATATATTGAATAAAAATATTTTTTTATTATTTCGGGTCGGGTCGGGTTTCTAATTCATATATTCGGGTCGGGTCGGATGAAACTTTATTTTGTTCGGGTCGGTTTTTTTTAATTGTGATATTCGGGTCGGGTCGGGTTCGGGTTTAAGGTGAAAAAAACCGGACCGACCCGAAAATATATATAATTCGGGTCGGGTGGGATTAAGTTACTGTTTTTATTAAATAAAAATATTTTTTTATTATTTCGGGTCGGGTCGGGTCGGATGAAACTTTATTTTGTTCGGGTCGGGGTTTTTTTAAGTGTGATATTCGGGTCAGGTCAAGTTGGGTTCGGGTTTAGGGTGAAAAAAACGGGACCGAACCGAAAAATATATATAATTTTACCTTATATATTTACGAATAATTACAATAATACCCCTCTATATATAATTTTTTTCAATTAAGTCAATGTTTTTATTGAATAATTTTTTTTTATTATTTTGGTAACTAATTAACATACTCCGATTGGAATGTATCGAAATATTGCTCTATCTTTTGGTAACTTATTAACATATTTTGATTGCGATGATTTTAACTTATAATGTTTATTAACATGATTTTTATAATTTATTGAAATGAATAATCAACCAATAAAATGAAAATTTAATATTTTTTAATTTTTTATAATATATTATTACATATAAGTTGTAAAATAAACTAAAATAAAGCAAAAAAAAAGAATGGTGATTTTGTCATTTTACATTACTGAAATCAAATTTATCTAACATGTCTGAGAACCAAACAGAATATGGAATTAGATTCTAATTTCATTTCTTGCCAACCAAATAGAATATGGAATTGGATTCTAATTCTTACAGATTCTAATTCCTTCACATATTTCAATTCCCTCATAGATATTCCAGCGAACCAAACTCCACTTAAAGTATGATTTGAGTACTTCTACCTAAATCCCTTTTTTGTACAGTGAAGAAAATGAGATAATGTGAAGGGCAAAACAATAGTAGAGCTAAAAGTTGAGGATAAACAATACTAACGTAAAACTGAGAACATGATTAAAGTATTTTTTAAGACGTTTTACCTTTAAATTTTAAATTATTATTTAATTTGTCCCATATCGTTAACTATGTTAAAAATATTGATGAATTACATGTTTAGTCAACTATTTCAGTGGTTATGTTTTGGACACTTAATTATTATTTTTTTTCAAAATCATCATTTAATATGTTAAAATTTATTCCAATCATCGAATGATTTAATCATGTCAAACCTTTAATAATGTGGGGTGGACTTGGGTTTCATGTAGAGAGAGAGAGAGTGTGTGTGTGTGAGAGAGAGAGTTCTCACAAGAGAGGAGTTGTTAATTAAATAAGCAGCAGAATTAATAATAGAGTTTGTTAGTATAGAAGGCTGCCGTGTATTTTCCGGTTGTTAGTGACGACGGTGCTGATCTACAAAACGATGTCTCGCTTTTCATATCACTGCCACTATGGCAATTGGCAAACATTTGCCACTACTGTTCGCACAGACATTTTCAGGTTCCAGACTCAAATATCTTTCCATCCATCGGTCTCCCTTTTGCGTACCACATTGTTTATCAAGTGCCTCCCCAACTGGTTTTGAGGATGGCTGAGTTGCCCCTTTGGGATGATGACTGGAGAGTGGAAGAACAAATGAACTGTCACTGTACTTTTGGCGATATGTAAGTCAGACAACAACTCATCTGCAGTTCAATTAGAGATTATTTATATTAAAAATTCATATTAATTGCTTACCTCCTCAATTCTAAATCTCACGATTAACTGAGCCTATTTCTGTTAGTCGATATCAAGCTTATATTTATGCCGAGTTTCAAGAATCCTAGCCTAAACTTTCAATTTTTTTTAAAAAATCATACCTAACGTTTAGTTTTCGTTTCATTTTAGTACCGCTGATAAAAATTTAACATGTTTAGTACCTAAACTATCAGCTTTGGTCCATTTTAACACTTAAACTTTCAAAAAAAAAATAAAAAAAACTTAACATTATATTTTGAATGAATTACTAAAATGAAATAAAAACTAAAATTTAGGTATGGTTTTAAAAAAAAATGAAAGTTTATGAATTAAAACGGACTAAAATTGATAGTTTAGGTACTAAATGTATAATTTACCCTAAATTTTAATATATTTAGTGATGATTAAAAAAATACTTGGGTGATCAAAACATAACCAAAAAATAATTTAGTGACTAAATATATAATTTACTCTTACTATTTTAATGATTTAAATTTTCAGGACAAAACGTCTCAAAAAATATTTTAAGGGATAAATTGGTAAAAATAGTATACTTCATAGGGTAATGGTGCATTTAAGTTTTTTTTAAGGGTAAAATATAAAATAAGTGTTCAAACTATAGTGTTTTTCACGAATAGGTGCTTAAAATATTTTTTTTAAATGATCCTAGTTCTTATTGTTACAAACATTACCACTTTAGATGTCCGGGTCGTCAGCGAAGTTAATTTCTTCCGTTAAGTGAGAAGTGTCATAATCCGGTAAATTTTAAATTTAGTTTTTTAAATATTAAAAAATTATTATATTTATTAAAAAAATCCTAATTTCTCTTAAATTATAAGAGTTCCAAAATCCCTAAAACCCATAAATCCTAACCCTAACCCACCAGTGTCGACCTTTCCGGCCACGACCACCGCCTCCAATGTAGTCTCTGTCATCCTCATAGTCATACGTTGTCGTCCATTGACCGTCGGAATCGCGATTTTCATCATAAGGTTTGCGGGGTATAAAACGTCGATTTGTCGTTGATCGGTCATCAATCGATCACAATATCATAGGGGTTGTGGTTGTCGGGGGAGGTGAGGTCGAGTGAAGCTTCGTCGACGGCAAAAGATTGCAGTTTTAGGGGGTTGAAATGAAGGTTTTCAAAGTTTTATGGTAAAATTTTAAAATTTATGCTTTTTAGATATAATTTTAATTTTGAAATTTTAAATAATTTTTTTAAAATTATCGGATTGTGACATGTGTTAGTTAATAGGTAAAATTAATTTCGTTGATGGCCCGGACATCTAACATGGTAACGTTTGTAACGTTAGACACTGAAATCATTTAAAAAATAGTTTAAATACCTATTTGTGAAAAGTGCTAGTTTTGTTACTTATTTGAGAATTAAACCAAAAAAACTTTGATAAACGATCGAAGTTTTCGCCATAGAGTGCAAATCGTTGACAAAACTCGGATTGAAAAGATAGGAAACAAGAGGAAAATGATGGCCAAATGCTCTATTGCTCCATCAACTGAACCTCTGTTTCAGACCTTCAATGGCCTTCAACAACTTGCCGAAACGCGTCGTTTCAATGTACTCAAATGATAGTCAATTTCTCTGCTCCTCCCCTCCCAATATGTATTTTCAGTTCTAGTCAATCGAAGTTGCGTTTAGCTAATCAAAGTTTTAATTTTAGTTGTAATTTGGACAATTGAATTATTTCATATAGGTTTTTAGCCTTGACTGTAACTTCTGAATAATTTGATTTCCCGTTTTGTTTAAGGCTTCTATTTCAAATTTCAATGGAACTCAAATGCTAATTGCCCTTTTCTTTTGGACATGAAAAACTAAAAATGCTCTTTGGAGGCGAAATCAAACTGGGGTTTTCGAGAATTTGTAATGTTAAAGTTTGAACTTTCATTGTAAATTTATGCTTTGGAATCAAAAGTCTGAATTAGCAATCTTAATTATCAGGGAAGAAAAATTATCTGGTTTGGATGTCAAGCAAATCACTTAGTTGGGACGATTTCTTTTGAGGGACATGATACCCGTATCAACAATACACTTAGAGCTAGCCACTGACTGTTTCCATTCATTAGCGTGCTGATACGAGCGTTTCTAATTAACTGAGTAGTGTATAAATGTAGGTAGTTATTCCATCCTTGAACGTATTTTTGGGTACTAATACATACTTCTGTTAACACATTTGTTGCTTTTGGATACTTTGGTGTCATTTACAGGCTTGGCTGTTGGATCAATTTGGAGTCCTTCATGATGGCAAACAACCTTACCCAGGAGCAATTTCGACATGTATGTTTTCATTTGTGAGTTGTAGCATTTTGGTTATATTTTCTTTACCAATATACCGGATATGGATCCATTTTTCCTTAAAAGATACAATCCTTATGGCTGACAGTAGAAAAGCTGGCAAGCACTGGTGCCAAGATGGTGATCATAAGTAATTCTTCAAGACGTGCATCAACAACAATAGAGAAATTGAAGAAGCTAGGCTTTAATCCTTCTCTCTTTGTGGGAGCCATCGCAAGTGGAGAATTAACGCATCAGTACTTGCAAAGGTTTGCCCTTACATATCTTATTCTTATGTATGGAGAAATCCCCAACATCTATAACACTACTTTTGTTTTTTGTGTTTTTTTTTTTTATGAATTCATTGTGCATTAGATTAGTAGGACCAAATTTGTTGTAATGCAAAATGCATACACCTGTTCAGTTCCATGCAATGTTCTAATATCAATAAAGGTTTCCTCTTTTACAGATTTTTATTTAAAAAGGAAAAAGAAAAGAAACTAGACAATCTTTTTTTAACCTTAAAGTCCAATTATGTCTATGGATTTTCCACACGTGCCTCCTTATGGTTATAGTATACTGCTTTTATTTGAATTTTTACTTCCGTAAGCTTGTAACATACATTTCAAGAGTTTATCCGTATTCTATTCCATCCAGGAGAGACAATTCCTGGTTTGCTGCTCTTGGAAGGTCTTGCATTCATACGACCTGGAGTGATAGGGGTGCTATATCTCTTGAGGTATCCAAACTGTTTTGAGTGCTTCGTAGTTGTTCCTTCTTCCTATTTATGGTTTTATTCGAAGAGCATCCCCAGTTTAAGAAACCTTATGTAACTTCTCTCTCTCTCTCTCTTCCCCCCATTTAAAAGTTGTAGTGTAAAGATGACATATTCCTAATTCATGCTCCATTACTTTCTAATAAACATCCTATATGCCTTGTAAACTAAAAGTCTACTTTCTGACTTGAGGATATGTCTGTAATTGTCATATGCATATTATCAAATTGAATACAAAAACATGTTAGCTGCTGCAATCCCCTATAAGTACACATTTTTTTCTATTGCTACATCTTCTAATTAGCTTCTAGGGTAAACTAGGCGTTTAATACCTAAACTATCCGTTTTAGTACCTAAACTTTCAATTTTTTCAAAATCATACCTAACGTTTAGTTTTTGTTTCATTTTACTATCCTGTTATAAACTTAACATTAAGTTTTGAAAAAAATTGAAAGTTTAAGTACTAAAACGGACCAAAACTGATAATTTAGGTACTAAACGCGTAAAGTTTTTAACGACGGGTACTAAAATGAAACAAAAACTAAACGTTAGATATTATTTTTGAAGAAAATTGAAAGTTTAGGTACTAAAACAGATCAAAACTGATAATTTAGGTACTAAAGACGTTAGTTATCCTAGCTTCTTATATAATCAAGCCAAAATTCCGTATTTGATTGACAATAGCCGTGGGCTATGAAAGAGACTTTGCAAGATGTGTAAACTGTTTCAACTTTAGAATGAAATGAATGCTTTTGTGCTACTAACTGATCGAAGAAGATTAGAAAATTTACCTGCTTAAAGCTTAGGATTTATATTTGAAGAATGTTAATAAGATAAGCATAAAATCCCTAATAAATTAGTTAAAAGAATGAAGATATGATCATATTGGCCATAGTTGAGGCCCATTCCTGCTAAATGAAAACTGCCAAAACGCTGTTAGGTTTCAAAAAGCAAATGATTACTTTTTTAAGAACCTGCTCACTGTCAAAACATATCGCGATGGACTGAAGGACTTCTTTATTGTTAAAGAACTATAACTTCAGCCGTTGGCTTTCAGAGGGGATTATACACTTAGTCCATCCATTGACGTGCCAGTCAAACACTTTTACCCTCTCCATTGCTTTACTAGTTATCAGGACAGAACCAGAATTAAATATTGACAGGGACCGAAATATTGGACTATTTAAAAAAAATATAAAGACTTATTAAGTATTTAAACTCAAAATTCAGCATTAACTAAGCAACCTTCGTGATTAAGGAATTATTGTTATCCTTAAGTTCTCAAGTTCGAGAATTGCTCATGTGAGGGTATGAGCGTTCATTGTTAAATAGTTGAGAGTCTTTGTACATATATTACATTGATTAATCCTAGATTTATAAAAAAAAAACAAAATTCACAAGATAACACTTAATTTGTATAATATTAAGACTTACAATGACCTAAATTGTTATTAGATCAAAAATTTTGAGAACACGAGTTATCCTTCTTTAGTTCAGTCCTACTTGATTAAATATTTAATAAATATTTATATTTTTTAATTTAAATGTTTATATTTTTTTAATTTAAATATTTATTTTTTTACATGAACCAAAATACTATTAGATCAAAATTATATCAAATATACAAATTTAACAGCGCCCGGGCCCCTTTGGGCCCTCACTATGCTCCGCCCCTGCTAGTTATATTCAAACTTCGTATCTGGCCAGCGTGATTGAATTAGCATGTCATGATATATCAATTTATTCTTGTAGGGTTTGGGCTTACAAGTTGTTGAGAATGTTGAAGAAGCTGATTTTATCTTGGCGCATGGCACTGAAGCTTTAGGTCTTCCTTCAGGTTTGGTACTTTCAATTAGTCTCGAGGGTCCTGAGAAGATATTGGAGTGTTGTGCAACTAAAAAGATTCCAATGGTGGTAGCTAACCCAGACTTTGTGACTGTCGAAACTAGAGCTTCCAGTATCATGCCTGGTAAGTAGTAAAGATTTACTCTATAGCAAAATTGGGTTGAAGAACAACAACAATAATTTTAAATCACAATTATAGTTGCACTATGGGAACCAAAAACAATTCATCGGTAACTTAGAAGCAGACAATCATCTTCAGCTCCTTTCAAATAGATGTTGTTTGTATTAGCATGTCAATATCTCCTTTCTAATTATGTTTATGACATTTGAGTTGTTTTTCTGATCTCCTCATCTAGTTCTGTTTATGCCCCTGAATTTCTTGGTTGGAACTATTTAACTTTACTAGCATGTTGCGAGAAATGAAATTCCTTCACTGTGATGCATGAAAGATTCTTTGCAGTTAAAATATGTTGGTTTGTGTTAAGTACCTTAGCCGCCAAATATGAAAATCTTGGTGGTGAAGTGAAATGGATGGGGAAACCAGATAAGGTGATATGATCATTTTGTTCTTTATACTTGATAATTATTTCTTCCTTAAATCGAGGGCCACTCATGATCTTGCCATTTCTTTGCTCTATTAAACAGTCATGCAAGTTTAATCTACCGACCATAATCATTTACATAATATGTTTTCTTGCGGTTGTCATGGGATGTCGTTATCCGGTTGCTTTACTTTCCTAATCTTTTGTTCAACCTTATTTCTTCAATTGTTTCTGTTTCCACTTAAAGCACATCAATGGCACTGTAATTTTTATTTACACCTGTTGGTTCTTTTTCAGATAATATATGAATCAGCCATGGCCATTGTTGGTGTAGAAGCCTCCAATTCTATTGCCGTCGGTGACTCTCTTCATCACGATATTAAGGGTGCAAATGCAGCCGGAATCCAGTCAGCATTATCGCTGGAGGGATCCATGCAACCGAACTTGGACTGGATAGTTTTGGACAAGTTGCAGATTCATCCTCTGTAAAGGCCCTTGCATCCAAATATGATGCATATCCGACAAACGTCCTTCCGGCTTTCAAATGGTAGAATTTATTCTGGGTATTTGCTCTCCATGTTTTGTAGTTTTCATTTATGAATTCATTTTGGTGTAAGATTTAGAGAACGAGGCCTCTTAAATGGTTTAAAGTTTAGTCTGCAATGCAAAGGGATGGACATCTGTTTCAAAGAAGGTTCTTTCTATAAATAAATAAGACAGCAGTGTTGCTTGATGAAGTTTTTGCATTAACTAAAGATCCTAAATGTGATAAATCAGAAAGCTTTGGATAGTGTTAGTTGGGAGTTTATATTGGTTGTTTTTGGATGCAATTGGGTTGCCGAGAGGATTTCGGGAATGGATAAGTGAGTGTTTGCTTAACTCTACTTCACGCTTCTCTATTGCGTTTAATGGTAGTCTTGTAGGTTATTTTTTAGGAGCGAGGGGGGTTTGTCAAGGTGACGCCAGATAGAATAGTGATTATCCTGTAGGCTAGCTCCGACAGACGATTCACAAGAGAAAAGCAGTCCACAAGCCGGACTGTTATAGTCAAAAATCGTCTTTATTCGAATTTTGCCAAAAATAGCAAAATCCCGAAAATCACTCTAAATTGAAATTCGAAATAAAATAAGCAATCTCCCAAAAATCCGGCCTAAATCGGATTTAAATTGACTTCCTAATTAACAATCGAAATATTACCATAAATAGTAAAAAATAACTAAATCTAGTGATCCGGAGGGGAAAACGACAGAATTTGAGGTTGAAAAAAAGGCCACATGGAGCATAGCTCAATGTGGAGAGCGTGCGCGTCGAAAAGAGATTTCCGGATTGGGATCTTATGCGCGATTTTGACACCTGTAACCAAAGTTATGGCCAAAAGACTGAAACATACTCAAAACGACACCAATGAGGAACATGTCACAATCAATTCCCGCCTTTGCGCTGATCTGCTAACTCATGGTATCTCAGCGCCATCAACGTGCAATCTGACAGCTCAACATCATCTGTCTCGGATCCCCCTGCATCACAAGGGGATCCTTTGTCCCCCTACCTATATGTGTTGGTTATGAATGTGCTAGCTCATATGTTGGATGTGGCTGCTAGTCGTGGTATTTTTCGGTACCATCCCAAGTGCGAGAAGATTGGTTTGACGCATTTGTGCTTCGCGGACGACTTATTGATTTTCTCTAAAGGTGCAGCTGATTCCAATGCGGGTATTCAGGCTGTTTTAGGTAGGTTCTATGAGATGTTGGGGCCGCGGTTGAATCCTTCGAAGTGTGATATGTTTACGGCTGGGGTTGGTGCTAATGGGTTACTGGACATGCAAAGAATTTCGGGATTCAGGCCTGGTGTGTTGCCTATGCGGTACTTGGGTGTTCCATTAGTCACAAGTAAGCTAACGGAGTCCGATTGCCAATCTTTTCTTAATAATATTAGTAGCAGGTTGGAGCAGTGGGCCAAGCATAGGTTGAGTTATAAGCTAACGGAGTCCGATTGCCAATCTTTGCTTAATAATATTAGTAGCAGGTTGGAGCAGTGGGCCAAGCATAGGTTGAGTTATGTGGGGGGGGGGGGGGCATTACAATTGATTCGCTTCGCTCAGTGTTACTTGGTGTATCGAATTTTTGGTGTCGACAACTTATCCTTCTAAAGAGCGTTATAACAGGATTGAGCAGCTTTGCTCTAGGTTTTTCTGGAAGAGTTGTGACTCTGCGGCCTCAGGGGCTAAGGTCCGGTGGCAGCGTGTTTGTATGCCTAAATCAAAGGGCGGACTGGGCATTAAAGATCTCGCTTGTTGGAATAAAACGTGTATTTTCCGATTGATGAAGAGTTTATTGGCTGATGAGGGGTCGTTATGGGTTACCTGGGTGAAAGCATATGTGATTAAGGAGAGGGATTTTTGGACTGTGGAGATAAAGCAATCAACTACCTGGAATTTTCGGAAGATTTTCTCGCTCCGAAATGAAGCCTTCTCCATCCGTGACGTTTTAAGTCGAGGAGATGTAGCTTTGAGGGATATTTGGGAAGAAGTGTGAAATAAGGAGGATAAGGTGGGGTTGCAGCGAATCATTTGGTTTCCGATGCATGTTCCTAAACATGCAGTGATCGCTTGGTTGGCTATTCTTAATAAGTTGGCAACAAGAGACCGGTTGTTGAAGATGGGATTATCTGTATGCGCTAGGTGATGTGGCAAATGAATCTCAAGACCATCTGTTCTTCGAATGCTCTTTCTCGCTTGATATCTGGAGGAGGATTTTGCGGCTGTGCAGTTGGGACAGAGTAGTCCGGTCGTGGGATAGTGAGGTAGAGTGGGCAGTTGCTACGTTAGAAGGCAAGTCCATGACTGTTACTATCGGTAAGTTGGCTTGGAATGCGTTTATTTACTTGATCTGGGAGGAGTGCAGTAGGAGGATTTTTCTTAGTTTATTAAGGGGGGGATGCTATTTTTGAATTGTTAAAGGAATTAGTTTGACTTAAGCTGTATCCTGTATAGGAAGATTGATAGGATGAGAACTGTTGATAGAAGAATTTGTGTAGGATGGGGTTTGGTTGATTGAGTATCGTGTTTTTTTTTGGTTGATACTCTTGTGTTTGTGTAGCAGATTGCTGCCTTTTTGGATATAATATAACCGATTTATCCAAAAAAAAAAAAAGTGATAAATCAATAGGAGACGACGTTAAAGATAGAAATAGCTAAAGATATGTTTAGAACTTCAGATAACAACAAATGCATGTTAAAACGACTGTTATGCTTTATTTTCTATGTTCGAGACTGCAGAAATTATACACAGCAGTAACTAAGATCAAATACGAAGCACCACACAATATACAAATAATATTTTATGGATGATAAATGATATACATGCCATGTCATGCACATATGTGACACATGGGATGCTGTCATACATAGTATTAGTATGGTATACTAAGCTAATGGCAGGACATACTAGCTAAAGAGGTGAATCCAGAAATTTAAGAATGAGGTCTAAAATTTTAATTTTCATTTCTTAAAAATAATGGGTATGCAAAAAAAAATTATTTTTTCTATTTTTCTTTAACATATTAAATTAAATTTTACTTTTTTTCCTAAATAATGGGGGATGCACTTGGTTCTTAGAGGGCTTAGTGCATCCACCCCTTGTATCACCTATAATCCGTATGCGTCTAAAATACGAATTATAAATGTAACATCAATTTGACAAATATTCAATGAACACAAACACTTCAAATTTTGTTTCTTTTTAAAAAAAACATCTCTATTCCAACTTTGAAACTATTCCATTGTTCATATAAAACATAAAATAATATTTATTCATAAAACTAATGGATACGTTACTAGTAAGCGATTTAAGCGGTTTAATACTGTTTTTCTAAATTTATTACAGAACTGCTTAATCACTATTTCATTTTAAAACCATTATATATATATATATATATATATATATATACATATATATAAAAGCTATTCATTCACATATATGAATATAATTAATCTAATCAAAATAAAATGATCATAATTTACTATTACAGACTATTTAACTAAAATCCTAACAAACTATTGATAACATAAATATACATGGCACTACTAGTTAAAATTAACATCAAAGATGTCTTTCAGATTCAGATTATATAGTCAATATCCAAAAAGATGTTCGAGAGGCTCTTCACTGCACGTCTCAGGCCTTATTCGAACCTACGCATGTAAAACTTAGTGAGACAGTAATAATTCAAAGTGAGATAAAATATTTAAAATATCATACAATATTTAAAAAATATTCAAAATAATTCAGATAAAATCTTTAAACGTTCAAAGCGATTATCCCAAGTATATTTAAGAGAATGCAAGGTACATGAGTAAGATGAATGTGCGTAATAAGCACTTCAGTGTTTTTATCAAACTTATACTATACACTCCAAGTGTAATCATATCATTTGCACCAACGATGTTATACATAATGTACTAAATGTATCAGATCATAATCAAAATCAGAAATCACTCCACCTCATGACTTGTCAATTGTACCTACGACTCTCAATGCAACATACAATGAATTTTACTTTAAATGCATATCATTTAAAATTCAACATTTCAAAAATCAGAATCATTTTTATTTCGCTGTTGAAAAATCATATTTTGTGTAGTTCATACCCTAAATCATTCATAAAACTTTATAAAGGATATTATGGAAATAAATCCATTAATAAAACATAAATCATACTTTTAAAATAATATGATGTTGACTTATCATAAGTCATCCTCAATCAGAATAATTAAATAATTAAATTGTATTCACCTTTGTCTCACTATCGACCCTTATATACGATAATTCTAATCACGTGATTGGTCATTTCCTTTTGGTTCGTTCTGACAATATCACATAATAACACAAAATATTTGAATTGCATGTTAGTATCATACTAACATAAACTCACTTTAATATTATAAAAGTCTATAAACATAAATTTGATATTTAATCGATATCAAACTAAATTGTATTTCCAATAAAATTCCAACTTCTCAAAATACTCATCTAAATCCACAAATATTTATTTGCATCCTTAACACTTTAACTTTTACCAATTACACAATCAAGTCACAAATTGTGATTTTTTTTAGAATTCACCTCAACCTTTTCATTTAATTCATAATGATCCTTCGTCATTATGATCTTTGCACATTAATGACTAAATTTCCAGCACTTTAACAAAATACTGAAATCAATACCCCAATATTCAGAATATTACAATTTCAACCTAAACTTTCAATTTCAACCATCCAACCTTATAAATTTGTAATTTGCTCTCAACTCAATGATTAAACTCAAAACTCAACGTTCTAATAGGATTTCCAGCATTGGAATTCCCTGTTCAAAACAGTACCAACACCTTTGCAAAATCATAAACAAGTCCCTAAAGTTTTGGGACCTTTCGAATTCCACCATCACATTTAATCAAATGGTAATTTGGGTCCAACTAACTTTCCAACTTAAAATTTCCAGCATATACTTATTAAAAAACAACACTAAGTACCTCAAATTGCACAATTATACATTTAAGTCCCACAATTTTCACAACTTGCAAACTAGCCCTTTTTCTAATTCAAGCTTCCAAATTGATTCAACTT